AATACGTCTCCGGTTATGCCTACTCTTTAAGAGCCAAATTCCATCAATATCTCCCCTCTCGGTTATGAAATCGATTATTTCTACGACTCCTCCCCTTTCGGTTCTAAAAGTCGCAATTCAAAGAATTAACAAACTTTAACTTAACAAATCCATGTTCAAGCACAAATCAAATTGTCACTCTTTGATTATATCAACAAATTAACCTAAGTGTCACTCTTAGGTTATAAACATTTACCAAGTTTAATTTATCAATTCATAATTAAAACAACTCGTCAAGATTGAGCTATCGTCATGCACATAAACGAGCTTAAACCGGAATGATTATCCCCTACCCCTAGCTAGAGGATTAGCTACATACAATAAATTCAACACAACAATTCATTTCTTCAAATTCAACCATTTTCATGAATTAAACAAGAAGAAAAACTTACAATCAATCCAAAGCCAAGTGTTAAATCCACAATACAAGCTTCATCCAAAATACAAAATACAATAAGAAGAAAAGAAAATAAAAAGAAGAAGAAGAAGAAGAAGAAGAGGGAAGAAGAAGAAGAAAAAGAAGGAAGAAGAAGGAGAGAAATTGGTGATGGAGATGATGATGTTGGGGAGTTAGGAGAGACAAGAAGACATCCTTTTCCCCCTTAGGAGATGAAAATGCTCCCCTCTCCAACCTAGGACCGGATTTTGTGGCACTAACTTTCATTTCCCGAGCTTGAAAAGGTCATAAAAAAAAACTGGAATTTTAGCACTCCGCGGCCGCGACCTGATCCCGCGGCCGCGACTTTTTGCTGCTGAAATTTGGGACCTGGCTGCCGCGGCGAAGAAAATCCCGCGGCCGCGGAGACCAAAATCTGCACTGCACCATCTTACGATTTTTGCTCGTTCGGGTTCGTTTTAACTCGGAATTGAGTTCCGTTTTTTCCTACGTGTTGCTAACGAACCCCTCTATCCAATGGTGTCAGCTTCCCCACAAGATTCTCGAAAACCGGTTCTCCTGAAGCTCTTGACCATCACACTAGAGACGTTCGCATGCGACTTCGCGCGGCTTCACGCTTTGGCTCCGTCCGGATTCATCCGAACTCGAAATCTAATTCCGCTTTTTCCTATGTGTATCCAAAAAATCCATCTACACAACCATGATTGCCCGGTCTATGTTGAGATAAATCGACTCCTCATGAGACTTTCGACCTGCACACCAAAAACAAAAAGAAAAAGGAGAAAAACACACGAAAAACACAAAGAAAACAAAAATGGAACAAAACACTAATAAAACACAAAACGGAATAAAAACTCACGAAAGGACCTAAAACGGGGGAAAAAGATTGATAAAACAATAACGAAAAATACAACAAAAATGGGACAAACACCACGCAGAAAAAACAACCGGTTGGTGGGACCCCCTCGCGCTCCCTATCCTCTTGAAGTGAAATATGCTTCTCAACTCGTCAATCGTTGGAAATGGTAGTTTTTTCTGTGCCAGAAGGACCATGATTCCTATGATCTTCTTCCAACTATTGGGAGTCACTTGACTAAGGCTAAGACCCCAATCGCGCAAGTAGTTGGTGATCACGTTGTCTAGGGGAAACCTCAGACTCGACCTTAGGCTCTCGGCGAAAATCCCTACACAACCGGGGGGAGGACAATGAATTCTTTCTCCCGGATAAGGAGCAAAGATTCTAACTGAGGAGGGAATCCGCGCAGCAGAACCACGTCGGCATCCGTCATGATGCTGGGCTCCCCCAAAAATAATACATCGTTGTCGGGCCATCGCCGAGCAGGATGACTCCAGTATCCCGATTTGACAGGAATGTCTCTTTCCATCTCGGCGTCTCCCTTGATGTTGTTCTTTCGGATATCCAGACGCTCGACGAAAATAGGGTCCCATTGGTAATAATCCCCCATTAACTAAGATTAGGGCTTACTGGAAACTCGAGTAAACTCTTAAGGAATTACGTGAGTCGTTGAAGAACGGGTGAAGGACGGAAAAGTTTGATAACAGAGATGTTCAAGAAATCAAAAATATGTTCAAGATATATATATATATATATATATATATATATATAGATTTATATATGCGACGCTTTCCGAACGTTGGGATGAAGACGCCTCCGCCCGTACTAGGAAACCTATCATTCAAAAATGTGTGTAACCGTTGTGTCTTTTGGAGGAAATCTTCTTAATACCGTCATAAATGTTTGAAACTTAATCGTAAGCGTTCACGTGTCCCGAAACTGCCATAATTTCCAGCCGTAATTTATGGTACGTGTCCCTTGAGAGGAGTAGTGGGGAAGACACATTCGTAGCATCTGGAAACTGCCTTGTAACCGCCCCTGGATCTCATACTCGCCTATTGATCGCAAAAACGTGTAATTCTCGTCTAAGAAAATCACCTCGATATACTCTTCGAAATTCTGCGAATGACTTCAGAGCTAAAGTTGGTCGAGATGAAAGTGTCATTAAGAAACACGCTTTTCTGCATACTCCTTAAATGACAGGGGCCTCTATGTTAATATCAAGACCGAATTCCATAGATTAAGGGCGTTTCGAGTGGATTTAAGATGGATTTAAGAAGAATTACTAGAAGACCGAGATGCTATGTAGGTCCTTGGTACCATCTCAATATCTAATCAACATCTCGTTATTACCACCTCGGTCTCCAAGACGCAAAAAAGCAGACTACCAAATCTCCCCAGCATTGAACAACGACCTCGGGATTGTTTTCTCGGTTCTAGAAAGGTTCTATGGGAAGGATGTAGCAGGCTACAAATCTGTGGAACAACTGATGTCCTAAAAAACCCGACCTCGTCTCGACAGAAGTGACGTCTGTCACTTCTTTCAAAGGGTGCCCATGCTTTCATCATAGCCTAAAAAGCCTGACGGCATCATAGCCGCCCCTTAGCCGTCATATCTGCATTAAATGCCGCCGACTTCTCTTGGAAGGTGTGCCAGATATAACTATAAATAGCAGCATTAAAGTCGATACGAGGATCTACGACCAACACATTAACTTCACGCATTTATTACCTCGGCTTCATCTGTTTTCGACCTCCAGTACTAAAAAACCGACTTGCTCGAAATTGTAACCGACCTCATAAAATTCAGTAAAAATCAGATTTTCTTCAATTTTCGTTGTGTTTTGAGTCTTAATTACATTGATTAAATCCGTTTATCAACACAAACATATATGATGATTAAGAAAATCAGTAGCACATCAATACAGTGGCCGTACTGTGCATGGCACCTAGTAAAAGTAGAGAAAATAAGATGACATGATGGTGTATTATTAACTTGATGCATTGAAATTTAAATATAATCAAAATAATTCTTCTTTAGTATAATTTTTTTATTTATATATTTATCATTTTAATAATATATTAATTCAAATAGAGAAATATTGATTTAGAATTTTTTAATAGCGGTATACTTTCTTTTCTTACTACAATAACATAGATGATAATCTATTATTATATAAAAAGAATAACCTTTTTTACAATTTTAGAAATGTTTTCCCGCCAAATTCATTAAATATATTCTATATATAGTAATTGTTGGACAATATTAATTAAGGCAACAAAATCGGCAGATTAATTGTGTTAGAATCTATTTTCCTTTTCCTGTTAGATTAATTGTGTTAGAATCTGTTTTCCTTTTTCCCATATTGAAAATGGCGTTATAAAATCTCATAGCATAAATCTAGAGTTTATCTCTTATCTGATACAAAATCTCATTGCATATGTCTCACGAGTTTAAAAAATCTCATCTCTTATCTATAATCTCATAGCATAAATCTAGAGTTTATCTCTTATCTGTTACAAAATCCCATTGCATATGTCTCACGAGTTTAAAAAATCTCATCTCTTATCTATAAGAATTTTAAAAAATAAAATAAAATAAAAACCAATTCATAATTACTACTAGAAATCCATTACCGTAAAAAACTAATTTTCATCGGTCTAATTATTAATATTTTTACAAATATTATAAGCTAACAATACATCCTCGATAACAACGTAAAAAGTATAATAATAATGGTGTGTAATCAAATTTTGTAGATGGAAGTAAGGCCGTATCATCTGACATAATGTCTTTTTTAAATTATGCTTATAATATTTTAGATATTTTAAACAATTTTTTTAAACATTTTTTTTACATATTCGTCTATATATATATACACATATACACATATACATAATTGATGTTAAATTTAAATATTTGTAGACATGTTTTCTTTACAAAATAGTCTAGAAAAATATTTTTTACACAATGTTAAATTCAAATGTATTTAGATATGTTTTCCTTTTAAAATTGTTTAGAAAAGTTATAGGTGACTTCACATCTTTCAAAAATAATATAGAAAATTTTGAGTATTTTTACATATACTAATATAATATTTTAGGTGTTTTTAATATTAAACATACAAATTTTATATTCTCTTATACAAAATAATGTAAAATTCATATTCTCTTATACAAAATAGTTTTAAATTGTTTGATCCTGAATCTTTAATTTATAATTATTATGTATTGTTTTTTCTCCTCTTTAATTTATAATTATTTTTTTTCTTTCTCTTTTTAAATAGAATCAATAATAGTTCCCACTTCTGCCATTGAATGACTCAAACTCAAAATCTATTTATAATATTATTAATTTAATATTATTCTCGTGCATAGCACAAAGTACACACTAATTTCTTTTGAAATATATAAAATATTGTAGTACGTCAAAAGTTACATCAGGTGATAACTTATTAAAAGTATATAAAACATAGTAGTATGCGGTTTTAGTCTACAGCCATTTATATTTTAATTAGTTGACGTGGCAAAGGATTAGTGGACAGAGCTTGAGGAAATGATTCCCTTTAAAAATTTTGAAAATGAAAACGGCACATACGAATTTCCCATACTTTTCTAGTAAAACACTTTCATTAGCCCTAGTGGCATGCCTCTCAACAGTTACACGCATGCATATTAACGCGTTAATTAGTTAGTTGTCACTTGTCATTAGTGAAGAAACTCACTTATAAAATTCCCCCACCCTTCCCTAAAATTTTGACCACGCTTAATCATCACATCACTAATCACCCCATACATACTACACTACATATCAATATAATCATTCTTCTTAGTTGTG